AGGGCGCTCTATTTTGGTTTTCCTCCCACGAAACGATAGAGAGAGGGATAGAGAGAAACGGAGAGGGCGCAACAGTTCCGACTTGCGAGCTAGGCTACTACACTGTCTTGCTACTACGCTGCGTTACTATCAGGTCGCGGCTACCTAGCGTGCTAGCTATTCATGTCGGGTAATGCAAGTGTCTGCGCAGTGTATTGCCGCAGGAAGCTGCTACTTATCAGGATGGCTACTCTGATAGCGAAGGGCAGTGCAACTTGCTACTTCAACGTTCTGGCACTGTATTGCTACGCAGGGCTACTGCTACCTATTTCATGTTGGGTGCCGGATAGCTGAGCTGTTGCTCAAACTTGGAGACAGAGTGGAAAGTTTTTGGATAGGATTGGGGCGCCCGCCCCCTTAAGTGGGTGATCTGTGCTGCTATGTCTGAGAGCCTGATAGATGCTACGAGGGCTATGCTAAAAGCTCTCAAGGATGAGCTCGATAGACTGGAGGCTGTCTGGAGGTCGTCTGCTACGACCGATCAGCTGAATGCTAATGCCAGTGAGCCCTGATATTGGCTACGTCCGTCACCGAAAAGGTGAGATGACGATAGGTAGGGGACGCATGGGGACGCTGGGATAGTAAAAATGATATTTTCAGATGCATTATCGTGTGTCCCAACTGCGAGCAAGATACATGTAATCAACTGATGTGCGCCATGTTTGAAAAACATGGATCCCATCTGTGTAGGCTATGCCACAGAGCGGCAGGTGGCCGATACAGCGACTGATAGCTGATATCGCTGGATAAGCCGTGCTACTTGTACAGTTGCAAACAGCTAAGCTAAGCTATCTCCGAAAAGCTCCTTGTTGTTGGCTGTTGGTAGGCCGACGTATTGATATGTTCTTTTCGTGGAGTGAGGAGATAGTTTAGCTAGCGAGCGCCACGGAAGGGTGGCAGCAAAAGTCCGGGTACGTGGCTACCGGGATAGGGTTCGTTGCTAAGTGGCCTGCTAGAGATCGCCGAAGCCAGCTAGAGAAGGTCAGGCGCAACGCTAGGTTTTCTCCGACCGAAAATCCCTTTTCCGATAAGCAAACCACAAGGCTAGGAAAGGGATAGGTCGTTCTGCAAGTGCTGTGCAAGTGGCTCCAAGATAGAAGGAGAGAGAAGAGGATAGAGAAGGGTCTTTGGGGTATCCAAACCCTATCAGATACGGTCTTTGGGGTATCCAGACCCTTCCTCTCCGCTAGGATTTTCGATGGGGGTATCCAGACCCCTTCCCTCGCCTCTTCTCTCTTTTTGTGTCGATAGGGGTATCCAGACCCCTTCTCTCGTTCCTCTTGATAGTTGATAGATGATCTGACGGCTCGATTTTGTCTCGAGTTCTGCTGGTTGATTGTTGGATAGGGGGGGCTAGCTGCCCCATGGCGCTGACGACAGCTGAAGAGTTGTTGGTAGGATCTTCGGACCTCCGTTTTCTGCTAACCAACCACGGGGTCAAGGATGACCGCCAGGGTAAGCTATTCGAGAATGTGATAGACGCGCTGCCCAAGTTCGCAGCTTTTGTTACGACGGCTAAAGAATTGGCCGATTTGCTAAAGTCCGACTTTAGCTTGGACCCTGCGGCCTCCTTGGATAAGAGGGCGCAAGTTGCTAGCTACACAGTGGCTTGGCAGGCGGCCCAGATACGGGTCAAAGCCCAGGCGGATGCGGCAGTCCTTCGCTCAGTCGTTTGGGGAGCTAGAAGATAAGTACATCCCCTCCAAAGAGTACATCGAGAAAAAGTTAGCGGAGCTAGAGTCTGGGGAGTTCCGAGCCGAGCGGGAGAGATGAGATTGATCCAGATAGTTTGATACCAGCTGGGATAGCAAGGGGCGCATCACGGTCAAGAAGGCCTCGTCTACTGTAGCTATGCCTACAGACCCAGAACAGCTACGTCACCGGCTAACCGTCATGTACAATGCCCTGGCGATGATAAAGTTGCGCCGCACCAACGTTGTGGAAGTACAAGGACTACCTGCTAGGCGACAGCGACTACGCCTACGGGCTACGCTCAGGAGATTTAAAGCCAAGGAGGATCGATACCTCCTTGGACCTTGGTCCTCAGCTACGACCACGCTATCCGGAAGATGGCCTACAAGCTCGTGAGCCAGGAGGGCTACAAGCTAGGAGAGGCGCTCAAGAAAGCTAAGCGCCCGCTAGAGCCCTGACAGCCCTTCCCTGGAAATGGCAAGGGCAAGGATAGCAAGGGCAAGGGCAAAGGCAAAGGCAAGACAGCTATCCAGGGTAAGGGCTCGTCCCGTACCCCGGATAACAAGCCCATTTGCTTCCGATACAATTCGAAAGGAGGCTGCAAGAAGGGAGATAAATGCCCAGCATTCTTGGGTCCTTGCAACTTTTCTTTGGGCATTCAGTCAGATGATACATCATTTTTAGCTGGATGCAGTTTTCAGAAAGCATTGCGTGTGATTGTGCGCACAGTCTTCTAGAAAACCAGGTATATGTGCCAATGACTACCTTTGCTACCATAGTGCTGGACGGGCAAGGCAGGAGAACGTTTTTGAAGAAGTTTGCGACAAAATGGGGCCTACAAAAAGCTGCCAATCGTGAAATCTGAAGTTGTACACACAAAGGGTCACCACCATCCCGAGCTTTACAGGGACATTGGTGCTCTGTCCTTACTGCGTGGCACAGCCTCCAACAACAACATGGGGGTCAGATGATGACAGCATCATCTCCAAAAACTTACTGGGGCATTGGTGCTCTGTCAACCTGAGTTGGGGCTAGAGCTAGCAACACCATCCCAAGCTGTCATTACAAGCTGTACAGTGAAACATAAATTGTGTGTACAGAAGGCAACACTATCCCAAAGTTTTACGGGGGCATTGGTGCGCTGCCTACAAGAGCATTTTTCCTTTTTGCTGAATTTAATTCCCCAGCTTTTACATTGAGAAGTTGCTGCATTTCGATGCGGCCAACTCCTCTTTGTACCGATCTACTGCTGAGTCTTCGGACCGAGTAGGTTCAGATTAGGTTAATTTTGGCATGTTTTTTTCTCACATTGGATGTGCAATTGCACAGCTGCTACAAGTGGCCAGACTTTGTCTGTCCAATGCCCCGCAAGACTTCAGACCAGTGTTGCTGCGTCTGGAAATTGAAAATATTTACGATTATTACTACCATTACTACACTACTACTATTACTATTACTATTACTATTGCTATTATTACTACTACTATTACTATTATTATTACTATTACTATTACTATTACTATTACTATTACTATTACTATTACTATTACTATTACTATTACTATTACTACTACTACAACTACTACTACTAGTACTACTACTACTACTACTACTACTACTACTAGCCTACTACTAGTACTACTACTACTACTACTACTGCTACTTTTACTATTACTATTACTATTACTATGACTATTACTATTATTACTGCTACTACTACTACTACTAGGTACCCGGCAGGGAAAAATCCCCCCAAGAACCAAAAATGCACTGATATCATACAAGGGTATCATAAGTTTTTCCCGGTTTTCCCCGCTGGGCACCTGCCAATCATGATGATAACGACAGTATGACCCAAACAGAAACAATAATACCATGATGATACTGACAGTATGACCCAAATAGAAACAGTAATATCATGATGATAATGATTGTGTGACCCAACTAGAGACAATAGTATCATGACAATAATGACAATATAACCCAACGAGAAAAAATATCAGGATAGTAATGACTATAGCCAGAACAAATGCATCATGCTCATAGTACCGCAAGCTGCAAGTCCTCTAGGGTGTGAGCGCTTGTGGTTGAACATCAGTGCCACGTTAATCTGTCCAAGTTTCCATGCAGGTTCACATTTGACTATCGGAGTAACGAAGTGGATTTTCAATCGCAGTCCCTTGATGGCTGGTGGGGGCATGCCAAAAAAACATGCGTTGGGGTCACTGTTCAAGCTACAAATGCATTGAGCAACCATGTACATGTAAGTCAGTGGCGGCAATGGACCGTCCAGGCCGACAAATGGCTGGAGAGTAGAGCACTTCTGAAGTTGCGCTTGGCTTGAAAACACGGTTTGGACGAAATCTTGCATCGCCTCATTTTTGGACGCAAAAATACGTCCAAAAACGAGGCGTTGCAAGATTTTACCGGCTCTCACTGCACTTGCGAGCATTTTCAGGGCCTCAAGCACGTGCGTGTCGTGCTTGGGAGGTTTTTTCCCCACCAGGTGCGTGCTACTACTACCACTACTCCTATTATTACTCCTACTATTACTACTACCACTATTACTACTACTGTCACTTCGCTCACTACTGTATCGTTCCGCCATTGCTGCTGCTGCTGCTGCTACTGCTACAGTTACCACGACCACCGTCATAGTTGTTTTTGTTTTTTTGCCAGTTCCTTTTTCTTGCCAAGCTTGTTTTCGGTGACTGTTGGTGTTCATGCTCTTGCTACTCTTGCGCCTGTTGTTCCTATTTCTGCTGCTGTCATCATGCGCCTCACATGTTTCTACTACGAAATCCTTGTGGAGAACACTTTGAGCTCAAAAAAACTGAGGGGTTGCCAATGCTCAGAGCTGTGCTTTATGCTGTTTGGAACATTTGGAAATCTGCAAATGTTGACGTGCAGGAAAGCGGAACATTTGTGAAGTTGTATATAATTCAGTCGTTTGAAGTGCTTGGGACCTTCGGTGGGGAAAATAACAAGTGCCAGCAAAAAAGCGCTACATCCTTGATCCACATCGGCAGTCTGCGCCGTTGATGGGATAGGGATGGGTGGGACAAGGCATGGGGCCAGGGACGGCGCTGAATTTTGGGAGAGTGTTTTCAGACTATGCTTGTGCATTGTCATGAGGGTTCGCAGCCACCGCAAAGATTGTTGCTGCTGCGTTGGTCTGTAGCACATAGGCTTCAGCCTCGGCCTTTGTCTTCTTGAAGTAGGCAAGGAAGGAGACCTTGCAGGTCATAACGTGAAGTTTGCAAGTGCAGGCTTTGACCTCCGTTCTCCAGATGGTGACTGCCGTGACTTCCAGTGGATCGGGACATTTCGGCCACTTGTTCTATCGCCCCCTCCAGCATGTAATTGCAGCTTGGAAGGCAACAAGTCCTAAGCCAGTGACTTTGAACGCTTAGAGTCTAGAGCTGGCGACACTTCGTTGCGCAGGGTCGACGTGATTGGCAGGTACCACGCCACCCCTGCAGTGTCACCTGGAGATGAAGGTCATGGAGAACAGTCAGTTTCGTGGCGTCGCCTTGGGCGAACAGGTGAGAATGGCTTTCGAGATGAGCGTAATTAACCCCATGATGATGCCGGACAGCGTGGAGGATTACTGGCGCATGGAGCTTTGGCAAGGCACTGTTCCAGAGTACCCTTTCAGCGGAGGACTTGTTGAGAGCTGGCCAGTGTACGGAACTTTGGACAACTTGACGATATCGTTGGTTGGTTTTGAGAGACGAGCGGGTGCTATGAGTGATTTGCAGTTCGATTTCATTCCGAGCCACTCGTCAGCAACTTGCATTTGGCATCTCCAAAAGCCGCACGCCTCTAACTGCTAACTCCAGCAAGGACAAAGCAAGCTGTCCTTAGTGTGCTAGCTGGAGATTTTTCGAAGGTAGTGTTCTGGCTTTGTTGCCATGTTGGCGTGCAGCTATCATGATCAGCTGTTCGAAGTCTGTGGTGCATGATGGAAGCAATCTCCAGGTGTGTGGGGCACAGCTTTAGATATTGTCGTTCACGAGCCGGCTGGTTTCCAATTTGAGAACGCTCGTGTCAATGCGCCGTGGATCCGACATGAGCTGACATCGGGAAGCCGGCTGGTCCTGATTGGCCCCTTGGCTGCTTCGTCTGAGGTGGCCCCTGTCAGCAATGTTACCGCATTTCGCAGTGCGTGTTTGCTTGACCGAGCAGTTGGCATCATCATTAGCAGCATCATCAGCATCAGCATCAGCATCAGCATCAGCATCAGCATCAGCATCATCATCATCATCATCATCATCATCTTCATTGGCCAGAAGCATCCTCCTCATGGTAAGATCTCCTTTTACCACAAGAGCCAGCTGCCTCGGCGCTGTTGCTGTCCTGATTTGCCAAATCTGCTGCTAGGAGTTTCAGTAGCCAACATTTCTTAAACGAGCTGCCCCTCTCCCCTCGCTGGCTTTGATCCGGAAAAATGGGCCATAACTCCATCAAACAGGCCTTCTCATCGAGGCCTTTCTTCCATTGCGAGATAGACCACGCGTAGACCTGAGGATTTGTTAGTGCAGCATGTTCTCACGGTTTTTGCCTTTGACCCTGTCCCATGCTGCTTTGACACGCCGATCATGATGTTCGTGTCAGCTGCGGGGTTGGCCGAGAGTGGTGTCGCCCCTCGTCGTTCTCGCGTCCTCCTCCTCGTTGTTGTAGTCAACGTGTGTCTTCGTGCCGGTCATTGTTTTTCCTGCTTAATTCATCGCAAGCCTCGTCATCCACAGCATCTCTTTGCCTCCTTTTAAATAAGATCATTAGCTACGTTTTCATGTTGAGCTCATTTCTTTTACTACTAAACACGTAATCTGCAACCTACTTACAGATCTTACAGAATGCATAGCTTTGATTGATCTGCATCCTGGTCCTTCGCATCACCATCACCAACCCTACTGTTTCTATCACGTGTCATGAGTTAGGAAACAATGATGCAGCAGCATACCTTTCGAACAAAACTACTGAAGGTGGCACCCTAGTTCCTGGACAGCCATCCCAACTCACTCTCTCCTTGGTTCGGCTGGGTGATGGTGGTGGACCTACGAGGATTAGCAGCTTGGTAGAAATATTCAAGCATTTTGCAGTGATTTCTGTCGGTATTTACATCTGAGGCATCCGCGCTTTTGCCGATTCGCAGCTCTTGCATCAAACAGCAAGGATAACAATAAAGCGAAGTTACTTTGGCCACAGCATTGTGCCTTTCCCATGCTACCGTTTGAAAGCATGGTAGGCATGCATGGTCCTGTACGTTGTAGTCGGCACGTCATCATCCCCAATCGGATGAGTGCAACATGTGCTGTTTCGCAGGAGGATCAACTTCCTACAGGGCTTCCGACTGCCAGGCGCAGTGCCTGGGCCCGCGAGCTTGACTTGTGAAAGAGAGAGATAGAGAGAGAGAGAACCCCCAGCAAAACTAAAAACCATGGCGGCACAAGTGAGAAGGCTAGGCAACAAGCGTGCCACAGCCCAGCAACCTGCCAATTTGTCAACGTAGCTTCACAACCGAGAGCAACATCACCTTCTAGCCCCCCACTATGCAGAGATATCGTCTGCAAAGTTGACGCAGTTTCTTTGGTTGGGCAACGTTTGCATAGCTATTCTTATTTCCGGTAATACCCTGAGCAGTGTCAAGCCCAACCCTGAAACTTGAGGGGTATGGTCCGACCTAACAGCCCAACACGGACTGGGCAGTGACGCCCGGGGAGGAGCTTAGGCTCTTCTCCATAGCCCGAACGAAAGAAAGAAAGCAAGAGACCATGATGCGTCTGAAATGTTTTTGCGCTTCCGGCGGCCCACGGCTAGCCTGGGATTGTTCAAAGCATTTTGCATATGACTTACCGACAGCAACTCCGGTCCTTGCTTGACAGAAACACTTGGAGCCATAGAGGCCATAATTCCTAACTTCTCGGGATGCTACCAGTTGGATGCGCGACCTCTGTCACCTGGTGTGTCAAGTTGTTGTGCAGCATTGTGCAGCGAAGTGTTGTTATTGTCCTCGCCGACAAGCGAGCTTTTGCACATGGGGCCTTTTTACTGTCTATAGGGCTTTTAAGTGAGACCCTTGAAGCTTGCGACACGGTGACCTTGGATGTCAGTTTCCGTGATTGACTGACTTGAACTGTTGCCTTCAAATGACCGTCATGATTAGCAGTTAGTTTCGGTCAAGATTTGATCAGCATTTGGGCAAGTTTAGAGTAGCGCATATTTGCGCTGTTGTTTGGGCATGTCTGTAAGGTCATGGCGGAAAACTTGCGCTTGTGGAGCGAGACAGTGGTGGACCATTGGTCTGGCCAGCAAGCAGACTCCGTCAGCCCACTGCTGCCCTGCCACACGAACACGCTCTTTGTCATGCAATTGTTGTGGCCGCTTCAGCACTGCTAGACTTTCGCGGTTCGAGCTGCATCTCATTAGTGGCTTTTTTAGCCACTGTCTTAATCAGCTTGTTGCGCAGGTTGGCTCGCTTCGAGATATTCATTCGACTGAGCAATATCATCTTGCAAGGAGATGCGCTGATCATCACGACGCTGAGCCATTTAGTTGGACTCTGACTAAAAACATGGCGTTTCATGTTTCGGCTTTGAATGCATTGTTGCAAACATGTGCGTAGTATGCAGTGTTTAATAAGAAGGGGGTTTTGCGCAATGTTGTGGTTGTTTGTGAGTGTTGCAGATGGCATGCAGACAGGGCTATACTGGCTCAAGGCTTGCCTAGACCAGCAGATCAGCTTGGCTTGCATTTTTAATTGCTGACACTCAGCGACCTCACGCGTGCTGCCACCGCTGCTGCCGCTGTTGCCTTTGCTGTCGTCATTCTCGTCTTTATCATTGTCGTCATCGTCGTCGTCGTTGTTGTTCACCTCCAACTGAAATCTAGGAGTTGTCTGAGGACTCGAGACCGTGCAGTACTCACAATTTCTCGAATTTACAGAGTGACTGTCCATTTGCTGTGTGCGATGGTCCAGCGAAGCGGTCACAGCAAATCACCCTAACGTACCTCCCCAGTGACAAGTGACATCTCTTACTACGCCGTGCATTTCCTTTGTTGCTTCGCTTTGCTAGTGCCTCGATAACTGTTTCTGTTCTAGAGTGATTGCGTAGACCATTAAAATGTTGAACGTGGTTGACAGTTCGGACATGTTGCTTGCTTGCTTGCTTGCTTGCTTGCTTGCTTGCTTGCTCGACAGTTCAGACATGTTTTGATCAGACATGTTGCTTGAGTTTTGACAGACTGGTTTTACTTTGGACATGATGCATCAGCCAGCTTTGATTTCACATGGGGATTGTCCTAAATTACTGTCAATACGGGGTCCTATATTTGGGTTCCTATTATAATACGGGGCCCTATATACATTTCCCCCATTTTGGGAACAGTAATTTAGGGAAACTTCCACATGATTCCACAAGATTTCAGACCACCTGCAACGCAAGACTACATGTTCTACATCAGCTATTCCGCACGGCGAAGAAATCACGCGCATGCTATGTGACATTGGATACTTCCTTAATGTTGTTGCTATTGTTCTTCTTCTTGTGACTGTTGTTGCTGGTGTCATTGCTGAAGCCCTACCAGCCGGACATTTAGGATGCTCAGTTGTCTGGCAGACAGACATCAGAGCTGTAAGTTGCGGCCACAAGTTTGCTCCATGCTTGGAGCAATTGCTCATGCTGGCAGCGTTGGAGTGACAGGGCAAGTGCAATGAGACAAACTCAACGAAGTGGTGAGCTCACCTCCAGGTGGAGCCATGTTGCCCGAGCTGGCCCTAGTCAAACTGAGGAATCCCGATAGCCGAAAAAACGTGATTCATGTTCAAAACGGGCGTTTTGTGCCAAACAAAAAGCATTGACCCCCTTTTGAGGCTGTTTCCGCACAGCTGTCAGTTTACATCGACAGGCATGTAAAGATTGATCCAGTTCTGAGACTGTGTCACTGCGATTTCCATTTTACGATGGAATTGTTAGATGCCGGATGCCTGGGTGCCCGAACCGTTTTAACGTCCATCTTACGAGAGCATTTGCGGTACCATGAGAGTAATTGCGTCCGAGAGCATCCATTGTTGAGCGCGGGCACGTGCAAATCATGATAACGCTCACTTGCAACAGCATGCGGCATGCGCAGTTGAAGGCGCACATGGGCATAGACCATGACAACGTGCATGAGAGCACGGCCTGCTAAATGCTCGTATGCCTAAGCATGATACTACCATATGCTGCCATAGCACCAGATTCTGAGAGGATTCAGTGTTAAATGCGCACAGCCCAAGCCATGATAATGCCCACTGGCGTTCAGCAGCGACAAGTTCAGAAGAGTTTGCACTAGTGAACTACTTAAGCAGGTCTCCGCAGGGAACGATGGTTGCAGATGGTTTGTCTTGATCATTGAATAGTGACTAAATGAATGTAAAACAACATGTGAGTGCAAGCAGTGCAGCAAGCAACATGCTTCTGCAGGCAGTCAACATTACTGCTAAGTGAAACATGTCCGTGGGTGGTCTGTACTTGCTGGTGCAGGTCGCCTCAATGATGCACCCACCACCTGTGAGTTTGTGTGTCCGTGAGTGTAGCACATAAGCTACATTTTAAAAGCGTGCGCATGGAACTTGTGCCACTATTCGCCTCTTCGTAGGCCCTGGCTCAATGCCGTTTTTTTATTTCCAACCCTTCATGATGTCAGTGTCGCTGCTGCTGTTGTTGTTGCTGCCGTTGTTACTGTTGTTACTGTTGTTGCTGTTGCTGTTGTTGCTGTTGTTGCTGTTGTTGCTGTTGTTGCTGCTGCTGTTATTGTTGTTGCTGTTACTGTTGCCTGCTGTTGATGTTTGTTTGGTTGGCACAACAGCCGCGTTGACTGTGCTATTGCTGCAACTACCGTCTTGATTTCTTTTTTTGGCAGGCATGGTAGTTGAAGCAGCTTGCGGGCACTTTGATCTTCTCAGGAACAGCGTGCCGTTTGGACAAGCTCCTTGGGAACCAAGTACAGAGACTGATTACGAATCAACACTGGAGATGTGCTTGGCTCAGCACGGACCGGGCAGGGAAATTTCTGGTGCAATTGCCGTCAAGCCCCCGCTTCCAGTTTTACAAATGCGCTATTGTCGCCATCCTCGTGGCCTTAAAACGTTTAACTTCACAACACCCTGCAGGAGGTGTAGCCGAAAATGGCACATGGATTTGTGATCGCGTTCAAGAAGTCAACGTCACTGGCCTGGCAGTAATCCGAACCTTGTCATGCATGTTGCGCAATTGTGTTTAGAGGTGTCATCAATCGGGGCTTGTGCCCGGGTTGACGAGTTCAAGAGTTTGATGTCGGGCGTCTGAGTGGCTTGAGTTCAGGAAAGAGGGATTGGCAACTGCAATTGACCTTGCGGCACACTCACTTACCCAGACAGCGTGCGTGCGATTAGGGTAAGACAGAGATTGTGCAATCGCAGCCATGCAACCGATTGGTATTGCTGTAGTGAGCCAGGCAGAGTCCCATCCGCTGGGCTCAAGACCAACTAGTCGTGCTTACAGACGGTGGCAACAGGGCAGGATGCGGGCGTCGGCAAAGCGGCTCAAGTGGAAAGTGCAAGCACTTCAAGTGTTTGCCTACAGTAGCACGCAAGCTGCGTCAGCATGCATAAGTACCTCCACAGTGGATGAATATGCTCTGTGGTCGGACTGCAGTATCTTCATGTCGAGGTCGTATTGAAATCTCGGATGGTGCCAGATGTGCTGTAGTTGCATAGCAAATTTGCGCACGCCAATTCTTCATTCCGGATTGTCAGGGGGTCTCTGAAAGGCTTCGAACTACCAGGTGCGTTTTCAAAGTGATATACCATGATATACCATGCGTGGGTTGCCTCCGAACGAACAGACCAAGAATTGTAAGCAGGTCACCTGTCTGGCATGATCATGGACTGGGCACTAAAATGGAATATGAAGAACATTCGTTTCAGTGCTACATGACTGTCCTCAGAAGTGGAAAGCTTTTAGCAGGCCTCCCAGTCAAAGCTGGAAATCTCGCAGGACACAACAAGCGAAGAAGCCAGTAACATTTAGACTTACAGGATGCAATTGGCACCTGGCGACGGATGGATGGGGCACAAAACTGCAAGTTACAAGTCAGGAGCAAGAAGACAGGCATACGGAGTCATGCTCAAGACGTCGTAACACTAAAGCAGCCACAATGGTTAAGTTAAAACATTTAAAACTCAGTGGCAACAGCTGCGGTGCCAAGGACCCTGTCTAGAGGTACTAATATGAAGAGATGCTGGTAGTCGTGATCTGGGGGCAATGAAAAATTACCCAGCACCAGCTACTTTGCTGGTTTGGTTGATGTAGTTCTTGCGGTGTTGAGGATAACAGCGCTGACAATTCGATCGTGCACCAATGTGGCAATGCGAACTGTGCCAATTCCAAGCACATTATGTTGGCCACTGTCAGGGCAAGGGTCTGGGATGGCTAGGGATAAGTACGCTGATAACCTTGACAACCAAACCGCCGCCAGAAATTGCGCAGCCAGAATTATGCGCGCGCGAGCATTGTATTGCGTTCATCCTTAGAAAGCCAGAAGCCGACGCTGCACTTTGCTAAATGAGAAGTTGCTCAAGCAGTTCAAATCCATTATCAGTTCCCATGCTGAAAGTCACTTCATCTAGTCGAATGCAAAGACATAGCAGTACAAGCACAACGCGCCTTTGTGCTCACAGCAAGTCGTGCTTTCCAGAGGACGTATGTTCTCATTTTTTGCGCTATCTTACTCTGTGAAGCCTTGAGGATGGTACATGGCAGGCCATGCATTCCAGGATTTTGTTGCTCAGGAGCTTCACGATTTTTCAGCGTTTGGAATCTGTGAAGCACCCAAGGAAACAGTGTGGGCATTGTCATCGGCATGCGCTTGACGGTTGGCGCGATGCGCGCAGAGCATGTCCTCAGCCAGGCAGGTCTTTCTTCCAGCTCCAAACTTTTGGCACCTGTGCAGCCTTCCCCTGTCAGCAGGCATCTCTTGATTTGGTGCAGAACGCCCTGAAACTGGAAGGACACGCTATTTTGCGCTACAAAGCATGTGAACAAGCTTACACTTTCAGAGCCTCTGGCTCAAGCCGCCGACCCCAAGGCAGTCACGCACTCCCCGGTAAGACGAGACGGAGAGGAGACGCAAAATCGTAGCAGAAGTCAGACGGGAAGCAGTTTCGCGCCAGCACGGCCGATGTTGCAGCAAAATGAACGATCTTGCGTTGTATTCGAAATATTGTCGCACCGCCTATGGTTTCAGGGACTAGGCACGAGACCAACCGGCCCAAGCGAGAGAAGTTCAAGCCAGGCTGCCCTCCGCAGGACCCTCGCCTGGGCGTTTGGGGTATTTGTGTGTGTGATGTTTGATATTGTTGTGAATGTGCTGCAACACTGCAAGTAAACCTTTCCAGGACCTCACCTGGAGGCCCGAGCACAGAGGGCCCCAAGGCCCTGGACCCCACCTTGCAGGCCTCGGCCACAAAAAGCACATTTTTCCCGGTTCCGGGCAGGGACCTTGCTGCTGTCGTGGAAGTCGGCTCAGACAGCTGCCTCGGCAGTGGGGACCTCCAGAAAAACGTGCCCTTCCCCCCCTCCCCCTTGAAATCACCTCCCACGTTGGAGAAAAGCAAATGGTTTTCATCCTCTCCGTCTCCTGCGACCATCCAGCATGCCTGCAAATGTTGGCGGATTAGAGCTGGATTCCGCTGCTGCGTGGATTTCCCCAATGCTTTGCTGTTCTGCCCAATGCTCCGCAGATCAACTGAAGTCAACGCCCCACAGCATTATACAGGAAATCTCGGGTATCGAGAGCTCGCTCTCGAGGCCAACAGGGACTACCGCCTGCGAGCCTTGGCTGCAAAAGCATGGCGAAAGCACCTTTGTCTTCTTGCCTTCTTAACCAAAGGGAAAAGCGAGCTGGAGATGCTTTGACTCTTTGACAGGCATCTGGCTGCGTGCGTCTCCAGCGCCGACTATGTGGACCATTCTTACTGAAGATGCAACCTGATGCGCAAGTCACTTTAAAGGGACCGACCTTGTACAGGTTGACAGCTGCCCCGAACCAGTCCTTCATTTCGACATTTTTCGTCATCCCTGAAACTTTGTTTTTCTCGTCCGCGAACGAGCAAAGAAGCTCCTCATATGTTATATATTTGCAAGATCCCAGCTTGACAACCAAAAGCAACTCTGCAAGTCGCAGACGTGATGGAAAGGATATCAGAGTTGATAGTGTACAGAAAGTGCATGTCTCCAAACAGTGGGAGCATGCAAGACAGTCTGCTTTGGTTTCGAGGCTTCGTTTTCAAGTGGAGCACGCTACCAGCTTTGTTGGCACAGACTTCGTGCAAGGCAGAATTGGTGATAATTGGTGTGGGGCCACTGATATTCGACCGTTAGACGAAACTCCCAAACGCCTCCTTAGAATTCCTTTGGAATCTTGAAACTATCATGTGCTCACTCAGCTGCTGCAGTCAAGGTGCTCGGATTTCTTTCCAACACGAATGATGGTCTGACTCCAGGAGCTGTTGCTGTTCCTGTGTCCCGGCTTTGCTCATAATTTTGACTTAGCCTCTTGGCCCCGACCCTCTTTGGGGTGAGAATGTCTACAGCTTGGGGATTGAGCCGTAGAGCTGACAACGCAGCCAGTGTGTCGAGAATCCGTTTAGCGCCGACAACTGCTTCAAGCCGCGTTCTGCCTCGTTGTCTGCGCTGTCTGCAAGGAAATGGTCTTAACAGCGACTTCGAGCTTGACGCGCATCCCACCGCAATCTGCAGTTTACGTTCGCGTTCACATTCGGACAGGGCCATCCCAGGGGCCTTTCAGCAAACTACAGCTGCTTCTTCCGTATGGCTTTGCCCCTTACGGTGCTTCGGCTTCTGGTACATCTCGGCTGATCGTCGGGCTGAACATTGAGCAGGGTGAAGGCGTACTTGATCAAGATACCGGAATGATATTCAATTTGCAGCTTGGCTAAGACATGTTCTCCTGTAAGCAGAACTAGCAGCTCCTTAGAATCTGTAGCGCTGCGGGGGCCAAAACCCTCGGTACAGGACTTGATAAGGCTGAGGGAAAAGCGAGCCAATCCCGAGCTTTTAGCGTGCTCTCTGGAGATACATGCCGGCACGCGAGGAGGATAATGACCCCGTCGAATGACGTGCCCGATCTGCGCTGGTTCGTTCTAGCCAAAGAGGCAAGAGTCATTGTCAGTGTGATTCTTTTCAAAGAGGCTGTAGCTGTCTGAAAAAACTTGCCTGCGAAGCCGATTGGCCGTCGGGCACAACCATGTGCGCAGGTTCTTGTAGACGACGTCACCGGCATCACAGCAGAGCCAATTAATGGGTGGGCTCAGACTGCTGGATTCGGTGTTGCACCGCAGATGCAGAATCGGCATGTTTCCTGCATCATTCATTGACTGCAAGTGATTGGACCACATTGGTGCTGACTCCAAGGCACCTTGTCCTGTGTCCCTCATGTACGGTGCGATTCCTACTGCAACCGGCGACTCTCCAGCAGTCAGACGAGTGAAGTTCCACTGAGCATGGGATGCTTTGGAAGTTCTTTTGCTTGATGTCTGGTGTGAGTCCCCTCTGAGGTTGGTTAGCAGTGTCTTTCTACGTCCCTGCAGTGGTTGCTGGCAGATTTGCTTTGATCACCGCCCCGGACACATTTTTGGTGCAATGTCCCAAGGCGAGCTGCGAGGTTTGATTGCTGTTGTTGCTTTTGGGTGCCCTGTTCATGTGGGGCCGCTGTTAATGGATAGTTGGCCCTCTCGTGATGTTGGGCCGTGAGTACATTTTGCCTTGGAAGGGGTTTTTACGTTACGTATGTCACTCGCTGAATCCTTTTAACAGAGACATTTTTATGCACCTCGGCGACTGCCTTAGAACGCTTGCGGTCCCCAGACATCCATGCCCAACCAATACCCAACCGCGGCATGGTACTGCCTGTAGCGTTCATTCCCGAGCATACTGTTCCCAGAGCGTCCATGCCCAAACCATTGTGACTTTCATGTTCCCAAACCAGAGTGGGTTTCATACCATGCACCTGCTTCCCAGAACATGAATCCCCAACCCATAATGACGTTCATGTTCGAGGCCATTCGCTAAACTGAGCATCCGTGCCCAAGCCGTAATCCCTTTCATGCCCGAGAGCATACGGTTCCTAGAGCATCCATGCCCAAACCATAATGACGTCCATGTTCTGTCTGCAAGGCAAGTAGTCCCTTCGGCTATGTTAACCCCCCCTGGAGCCAGCTGTTTTTGTGAAATCGCATTCATCACAGTTCTAGTAATTTGCTGTTGCAAACCCGCCACGGCACAATATGGCCCGTGGTCGAGCTAGTTAGTTAGTGTTGCTGCTTCTGCTGGTCCCTAGCAACGCAATCAAGCTGTGCACCTGCCATGCACCTGTGCAGGTGGAAGAGACCGGCTTGGACCTTGCCTGCGAAGACTTCCGAGTCCGCGAAGCGTTTCCCCAATTTCTGCAATCTCTCCAACGTACGGTGAATGTCACACTTGTGGGAGGAACTCAAGAAGGAGATAATGTGCTGTACATGTTCCTCCTCAATGTCTTGACGCCCGCAGAGCCGAACATCTTTGACACGCGGCCTTTCCAGCCCCTTTTGTGTAGGAGTACTGCTTGTCCTTTCCTGTTCATACAAAGCCAGGTGCAGCCGTACTGATACTGGAGTTCGGATCCAGGTTCCAAACCTTAGGTTTGCAGCTAACCATATCATATGCATGAGCAGGGTTTCAGGTTTCCCCGTGCCCTTCCAAGGCTGAATCAGTGTTTCTCATGAGCATGAGCCATTGCTTTTGTACCGGGAACTCTGCAGACCCACTCCGGCGCCCGTGACCCGCTCCCTGGGCTGTTGTCCTCTTAACTTTCTCTCACCTGACGAGTGGCCCGGTCGCACCCCTCGTGAGTTAGGGCTCGCTTTGCAAGTCGTGGTGCTGGTCTCATCTGGTCTCCAGCAAAGGTTGCAGTTGTTTGAGCAAGCTTGCGCTCCCTGTAAACAAGCGTTTGGTTGAACTGTTTCTTGAAAACAGCGCTTTCGGCTGTCGTACCGAGATTCGTCCGAGTGAAAGCCACAGATGCAGCATCAAGACTGTCAAGCCTGTACGCAGTTGAGATGGGAAGAACTTGACACCAGTCCCGAGGGACTAGTCGCTGCAAAGTCACACTGCCCGTGCTTCATTGTGCTTCCTTGCATATGCCCCTTTCTTGTCTGCCGCCGGCTGCGGCTGCCTGGACGTTGTAAAAACAGGCTGAACAGGCTGCCTTGCCTTCCAGGCCCGGGGTTTTAAGCACAGGCTGCCCGAGATTTCCTATCGGGTTAAGCCCCTTACCGTTTGCTCGCCTTTTGTTTCGGGCTTTCAATTTGGCAGGTTCTCCTTTCCCTGAAGCTATAATATTGTTGCGGAGGCCACTTTCCAGTCCGAGTAGTCTTCTGCAAGCCGCTGCTGCACTCGGACTCTGAGGAACTAATCCTACGATTCTGGTACACCTTTAATTTCCCGGGTCACATTTGCAGTATGGGTACGCCCTTGTTGGAGCGATTGATTGCATCATAATGCAAGAGGGAGCTGCTGCATCAGCACAAAAATTAGACATAGCCAGCCTTGGCGATTCTTTGCATTGTGGGTTTTCCAGTTTGTTGGCGCGGACCAGGCGAAGTGAGAAATGATGTTTGGGCATGCCGCAGTGCGCCGCACGAGGCAGAACAGTTTCCAACATCACGCGCTCGACGGGCCATGCTGATTTGTCAACTTAGCCTCACCAGCTACCAGCTGCTGATGCACTGCCTCAGTATGACTCAGAAGAGCGATGGTTGCGAGCCCGGGTGCAAGCAGCAAGCTCAGCTCTGCAGCTCACTGCAGCTCTATAGAATTGCCGGGTGAACGCCAAAGCTCAAATTACAGGTCTGAATCCAGAGTTTTGTCTCGCACTGCTATCTGTTTGTGGCTGTGAAGCGCGTTGCTGGCCAGCTTGCGCAGTGCGTGCTACAGCCCGGGCCTTCTTCAGCCTGCATGCTGCGCTTTCGCATCAAGAACCCTTCCGACTTGCCCCGAGTTGCCCTGTCAATCTCTTCTTCAGCTACTTTTGACGCGGACGGGCCGGTCACTTGCCTGGTGCTTTTGCAAAGATACTCGTGTGAGTGCTCCCAGCGCAGATGTTGAGCATCTCAGGACTTTTGGCAGATCAGAGTCTTGGACAGTGGCTTTGCGGTGGTGGATGCGGCCCTGGCCGTGCCGCAGCCTCGCTCCCTGAATAAAACACTGAGCTGTTGCCTTCGACCCGCAAAGCGTAAAGAGAGCGCCATTGATGGCTTCAGGCTTTGTGCAAGACATGGAAATGGGCAATCCGTCTCTGTCTTGGTTGCAGCCACCGCAAATGGGGGAGGTGCGCTGCTCATGCCTGTAGCCTTGAGCCTCCTCTGGGATTCATGCAATGTAGACTTCCCTGTGCCAAAGATGTTAAACGAAAGCATGGGAGAGTGATACCGTGATAATCCGTCATAGAGCGCTGCCTCAGCCGGGCCGAAGCAGACTCAGAGCTCGTAGTGTTAGATAGCTAGACTACTGTTGGACCCTAGTCACTGCCAGTGCCTCCAAGCACCAAGGTCTCCAATGTGCAAGTGGAAGTGAGTTTCCTTCGCCGGGTCAAGGGGGTCAAGGCCATTTTAGTGTCCTTGCCCGAGAACTACCGTCACGACATCCAGCACAAAAATCAGCTGCTCCAGACGCATTTGAGCTTAAAGTGCTAAAACCAACTTGACATGGAATTCTCGCAAGGGAGGTGCCTGGTAGGGGCCGCTGCTGTGGGCGAGAGGTAGATGCAGAAGCAGGGTGGCTTCAGCATATGCAATCGATTCCAAGGCTGAGGAATGTCAATAAGCAGTTTCCGCTCACCATCGATACCGAATGGCGGGTCTTTGACAACCTGAGGTGGGATTTTGGAGCTGCCACGCATGCTCAAATCATTGTATCCTGCGACTCAGGTACATCAAGGTCCTTGTGGAAGTGACCGAGACAGGTGAGCCGCAGATTATCATTGCTGGCACATACCAGTGGCAGTTCCCAGTCATGGCAGCTCAGCTTTCATTGCAGCAAAGGCAAACTTAGATGTTTTGTGTCGTCCGTGCATGGGACCGGCAAAACAAAAGTTTGGAGAGGCAGAATAGGGTTTTGCCGAACCATGTCATGAGAAAAACGTGGAAAAGTACAGCAAAATGCTCCATTGAGAGAGGGTGGTAAACAGTTGCAGGAACTCAAGAAAATCTTCTCCGCCAGGCTGGCAAATCTGCGTCACAGGCAAGGCCGATCACACACACTTGTACAGGTCTCCAATTAGGTTTCGTTTCTCAGTTGCCTGGCTGTCGGCCAGTTTGTTTGCCAAAAACCCTCAGCTGCTTGTGTGTCTGCTGCGATCGGGGAGCGTTAGAAGTTGGACGGTCA